TTCTGAGTGAGTAATAAAACAGTTTTGCTGCTGGCATTTAACATTGAAGGTAATGATGTACTAAAAGGGCAGAGAAGAGTAATTGCAGATTTATGTACCATGTTCACATTTTTTTCCCAAGCCAGCAGAATTTTCCAAGCTGCCCGGGTTTCTTTTAAAGACAATTTTCCTCTTTGTATTTTGCATACAGGGCAGGATCTTCTGAATCCTCTGGCTTTGAACTTGGAGGTGGATATTAATTCAGATCAAGAGGGCCTGTCATATTACAGCAATTAAAACCATCAGCTTGTCACTCAATATCACCTATGGGAAAAGAGAGGTGGCATTTGAGAGTCAACACTTGCCTTTGCTGCTGACCTTCCTGTACTCTTCTCCATACACTCCACACCCCATGAAACCCTATCACCCAAGTGCCTTTGTCCTGGGTCACTCTGCGATTCTGGGACTCCAGTGCCTGTCCTTCCAGCAAAAGCCACAGCCTCTGCAGTGGCACTGTTGAGCAAAGGAGCTGCCAGCCTTTGATTGACAAAACTTCAAACCTGGTGCTTGATTCCAGGGAAGGTCCACTAATAGCCTCAGCACAGCCTGATAGGCTTGATGTTGGTGGGCCTTCTTGAAAAGACTCAACATGGTTCTCTCACTGGATCCAGCCCACAGTTGAGATCAGCAAACCTCAACAGGGTTCTACCAATAGATGTGGGTTGTATGTTCAAATTACCATGGGATGCACACAAAAAGGTGATCTAAAAGTTGAAACTTAGCCATCGTTTTCCACTTCCAACAAATATTTTCTGACTATCATTCAGTAACTTGCCAGTACAAAGCTATATATTACTAGACTAAATTAAATTAAATTAGTTGTGGAATGAATTATGAGGAATAGTCACATAAACCTAGCTTGGATTCTCTTGCGTTTAGGCAGTTGAGGAATTATATACTGTAACTGTGTTATTTAGAATAATTAAGGGATTTCATAGTTAGATTTATTTCCTACCCAATGTTCAGCTCTGTTATGGGCATAGGAATGCTGGACAGAGCCAGATGTTTTATTTTGTACAGTTCAAGAGAAGGACACACTGTCAAAATCTCGTTCACAGAAATTATGAAATATTTTTACTGTCTCCAAAAGCATACAACTGTTAATAAGGTGTATCCAAATTTTACCACTCTTGGCTAAAGATGAGCCCTGTCACAGGAAACGTGTAGTTACTTCACGTAAAAAATCTTGTTTCATTCTTGAATCTGTTACTTTAAATTAGTATCAAAAACAGCTTCACCTTAGAACAGAGTAACACGTGATGATTTAGAATAGTGTTCATGTCATTATAAATCAATGTAATATATAACTCACTGTGAACAATGGCACAAAATGTTTGGTGGTATCTTATAAAATGGTCAAGCTACAAATTTAGAGAAGGATGACTTTTAAGTTGTCAATTGTCTATGACCCTTTAGCTTTCCTGACAAGAAATCTATTTTAATAATCACATTTTGCTGGCTTTGCTTAATAAATATAAGGAAGCACAGAGGTGTGATTTCCTCTAGAGTTGTGTTGACTTCAAAGTTTAACCCCAGTCTGTGTAAATGGTAATTCATATGGGCAGCTGTTTTTCTGGCTCCCTTTGTCTGGGCTGTAATCTGATCATGGTCCATCAGGGGAAGGATTTAACTACACTGAATTTCGTATATCATCAAGGCAGTTTGATCATTTGTGGAGCCAAATAATGCTGTTGCAAGCTTTAGAAGTTTGCTATTGCAATTTCTTTCCTTCACCTCAAGTTTGCTGTCCAAGTATCCAGTAAATTACTTCAAATGAACCTCATGTTAACAAGTCAGTCAGGATTATATTTACATGCATGGAACAGGTGAAAGTCCCATTCTCTAATGTTACACTGCTGTGGAGAGCATATGGGAATTCATATGCTTTGCTACCTTTATTGGGGTCAAGGAAGTCCTGTGGTGCAGTAATGGATACCCTGTCACAGAGCCAGAAGCTCTGGATTGAGTCCCATTTCAGTACTTGGTGATCAAAGGAGACATGTTCATGATTCAGCCAAATAGGGTATATATTAACTTGAAAGTAGTCCCAAAAAATTCCAATTCCAGCTGATAACAATGGAGAACATTCCTATTCAGCCATGCAATGGAAAAAAAAATTGGAGCCTATGCCATCACTAGTCATAGTTTTGAACTAAAATGCATCGTGCTACAGCAACTCAGATTTTTTGGGGAGTAGGTTGGCTCAGTTGGCTTGATGTGTGTGACTGGTGCCAATAGTACAGGGTATGTGCCAGCTGGGCTGCATTTGGGATCTGCCTCCTTACCTTATCCATGGTGAAGATTGCCATGCTGTAGATTCAACCTATTTTTGGGCAGATAACTAAATAAGAAAAAGAATCTTTACTGGACTAAAATAATATTCATCAGGTGATACAAAGTGCTTGTTACACCTTGTTAAAGACTCATTTAAAGCAGTGAGCTCCTGGGCTAACTATTTATCAAAAAAGTAAAAGCAAAGTACTGTGGATACTGGAGATCTGAAATAATTCTGAAATAAAAACAGGATGCTCAATTAGTCTGGGAGCATGTGTGGAGAAAGAAACAGAGCTAAGTGCAGAATAGTGACTCAATGGTTAGCAATGCTGCCTCACAGTGCCAAGGTCCTGGGTTCAATTTTAGCCTCGGGCAACTGTCTTTGTGGAGTTTGCACATTCTGCCTTGTGTCTGCGTGGGTTTCCTCCGGGTACTCCAGTTTCCTCCTACAGTCCAAGTGAAGGTTAGATGGATTGGCCATGCTAAATTGCCCATACTGTCCAAGTATGTGCAGGCTAGTTGGGTTAGCCATGGGAAATGCAGGGTTACAGGTATAGGGTAGGGAGGTGAGTCTAGGTAGGATGCTCTTTGAAGGATTTGTGTGAACTGAATGGCCTGCTTCCACACTGTATGGATTCTATGATTCTAATGTCTCATGTTCAACATGACTTCTTCAGAGTAGAAAAAGTTATATTGGACTCAGACATTTGCGGCATGGTGGCTCAGTGGTTAGCACTGCTGTCTCACAGTGCCAGGGACCCAGGTTCGATTCCACCCTCCGGCGACTATGGAGTTTGCATGTTCACCCCGTGTCTGCGGGGTTTCCTCCCACAATCCAAAGATGTGCAGGCTGGGTGGATTGGCCATGCCAAAATTGCCTGTAGTGTTCAGGGATGTGTAGATTAGGGGGATGGGTCTGGGTGGGATGCTCTGAGTGTCGGTGTGGACTTGTTCAGCCGAAGGGCCTGTTTCCACACTGCAGGGTTTCTATGATTAATGCTGTTTCTCTCTCCTTAGTTGCCACCAGACCTGCAGCATATCTCCAGCACTATCTGATTTCTTTTTTAAAGTGTTGAGTTTTGATTTCACAATTCAAGCAACTTCAGAGCTGAGGAGTGCAAGATTTCCCATTGTTTGATTTCTTAACAAGCACTTCCAGATCAGGCACATAACAAAAATAAATGGTTTTCCACACTTTCACAATGTCCAAACAATGCCTCCAATTGCTCTAGCATAATGGTTTCAATTCCTACATCAACTAATTTGAGACCTTGATGTATCACTTTCTTGGCTCTATTGAGTCACACACTTGCCCCAAAAACATGACTAGGATTGTTGTACTGCATTTGCCTAAGGATTTTTAGAGTAAGCAAGCGGATTTACATCCTTTAAAATGGCTGAAGGTTAATTAAAGATCCAAACCAATGTTAATTCATTGTAACACCCAATCTCCAAAAATATTGCTGTATTTATCATCCTGATTACCTTTACTTGGGGATTGGTGCAAGTTAATTGCTTGTGAAACAAACCAGTAAAGAAATCTTAAAAACTAAGGAATTACCGATAGTCCCTTGAAGCTTTTCAGTAGCTTCCATAAACCTGTGCAGAGAACATCACACCCGTGATTGAACGTTATTGTTCTATCACAGATCATATTAGACATGAATGACACTGTTGAGTGTAAATTATCAAATTTTCTTCAGCGATAGAATAATGGAAAAATCTCATTAAGTAGCTTGATATCCAAATCCATGGGAATGGTGAATTAGTGATTAAAGCTATTCCACAGTTGCAGTCCAGTAGGTTTCAGATGCCACTGGCAGCCAATGGAACTGAAAAATTGGGTTGTATTTTTAACAAGTGGCCAATTTCCTATCACCTGTTTTTCACTCCTGTTGAAGTTGAATTTAATCCTCTTGAAGATTTAATCATCATTTTCCACAACATGTAAAGTCACTTGCCCTTCATTGACAATTTTTGCTCTAGCTGTTAAACAAAACATCATGAAATTGCAGACCGCTCTATTTTATGGGAGATGAGTTTGACAGGATTGGTACAGAAGCATATTACCTGCTGTTCAGCCAAGACAGAAATAATTGCTATGGTCATTATGTCTGCTAACTAATGCATTCAATAAGAATTTTTTTATGATTTTGCAACATGCAGTAACCAAAGGAAATCTTTCCTCGTAGAATGACTTTAAAAACACATCTGAGTGAAGAAGCAGAGTAGTAAAGAACACAAATAGGAACAAATTATTAGGAAATGGTTTATACCATTATCCCTTAATGGTGCATGAAACACAGATGCTAAGATATTGTTCCACATTTGTAATGTTTACATAAGCAATATGTTATTTGAGCACAGTGAGAATTGTACTAAGTCCATAGAGTGAAGTAGAATTTTGCAACGCTCATGGACAATGTACAATTTTTAGATTTTCCTATGGACTGCAGTTCATATTCCTCTAAGTCTGGTTCAAACCTCTAGATAATTCATTTCACTTATTAGCCATTCCACTGGAACTAACAACAAGAAACAGACTTATTATTTTGCTCGAGTTGTCAGGTTTTCCCAATTGCCCAATACCCTAGTGGAAATTCTGCAATAGAATCTTGGCAATTTTAGCAGCTATAAACTTCTTTCTGCATTCTCATTAATCACTTCTCTGCCAACTGGTATCTTACCTGCAGATGTAATTTGTCTTGCACGTTTCAGCCAAAGACAAGCAATTTGGCTTTTCATCATCCTGGTATGAGCAAATAGGCACAATCATCTGTCGTCGCCGTTCTATGCAAGCCATGTCCCTACAGGAACAGAACAGCATTCCATAGGTGTATTTCGCAGGAACACGGTCAAAGAATTGTCGCAGGGCTCTGTGGCACTTTCTTCGGTTGCAGATCTCCGATGCAGAAACACGGGCTGTGCAGGGCGAGATGTACATCGATCGGAATTTTTTGCAGTTATCATTCAGATTGCAAGCTTTGGCGCCATCCAAACAACTGTTTCCCTTTGGACCAATGCGTTCTGCACCTAATACAAAAGAAATTGCATCTCATTTGTATTTTAATAATTTCTTCATAATTATGTTCTTTTATATGTTTGGGATGCTACTTACGTATATGAAAAATGTCTTTCAATACTTTATAATGAAATTTGATTTTATCTTGTTGCATGCTTTTATGATGAAGGCAACTGTATGATCAGTATAGAGGTAAACACCAATATTAAACTTTGGAATGAGATCTTTGATGAGTATTTAGAGGAATTTCAAAATTGTAAATACTTCCAGTGTTAAAACCTTCTTCCCTTTTAGTTGTTTCCAGTTGTTGCCATTGACCCAATTACATCTGTCCATTCAGGTGTAATGTTTTACTTGAGAAGTACAACTCCAAAAAAAAAGATTAAATAGAGTCAGTTTAATTTACTTTCCATATAACTGGATGTCCACCTAAAAATCAGCAAGAGAACTGGAAAAATCAATGATTTGATTGGTTGGGTGCATTGCCAGCAAATTATAACATAAGCATGTTAAGGATGACCACTGTATTGGCATCAGGAGCATTTTACTCAAGCCTTAAAACCTTTTGTAAGTTATTCATCTCTTAATGTGTTGCACATTTTAACAAAATTGTTTGCCATAACTTGCCATTGTTGAAAGCTTGAAATCTAACTTGAAGATCAATAGCCCATTAAAAGGTAGCAAATGTTCTTGGTGGTAGTGGAAGCAGAGTCAGTAATAACTTTCAAAAGAGCTGGAAAGAGAAAAATGATCAGTCAATAGGAAAAGAATGAGGATTAATTGGATAACTCCTCTGTCCTGTATGATTCTATAATGACTCCTGAAGTCACACCATTGGAACAGCAGAATAAGAAATAATTTTAGTCTGCTCCAGGCTTTTGTGGTGCTTAGATTAGAACAGTAGCTCCAGTCAGTGCAATGTCCCAGTCACCAACGGGACTGATATTTGATTCTGAAGTCTTGTCACTTAAACATCGTGAGAGGATTGACAATTCCTCTGTTTAAGACAGCTTTTGTGATTTTGTGTTCTTGAGCTTTGCATGGCAGGATTACATGTCTGGAACTGACACAGGAGGTCAGTTGGCACTGCAGTAATTTGCATCTGTTAAAAGTAGTGGTTATCAGCATAGGGATGATGAGCTGATCAGTGGTTTCCCTGCTGTTCCAGTCTGTGGTTCTAACAGATGACTGGTTAATACATTTAGGATGAGGTAGCCTAAGACAAAGTTGAGGACAGTAATAGGGTTTTATCTTGTTTGACTTTATTAAATACATGTGGGTTGCTTAAAATAAACAGATTGCTGTCATTGATACCTTTCTGGCTGCAAGTGCAATTCATCATATATTTCTTTAGGTTTCAGTCATTGCCAACCGATGCAGCTATCTTTGGCCGAGTAATACTTTGTGGCAGTATCTCTCTATATGACAAAGTCGTGCACTATACAGCAGATCACAATCATCCTGAGACCTTTGTAGAAGTATCCTGGAGCAAGACCCTGTGCTGGAAAATAGTTAGAACTTTATTTTAAATCCTAGTAACCTCCATGAAGTGAGTTTGTTGATAATGTGGCAGTTCTTGTTTGGAGTTGAAAAAAAATTATTCAGTGTTCCTGGGCCAACAAGTAATTTTGTAGCAATAATTTCCATTAATGGCCATAAAATGGGATCTATATTATCAATGTAGTGCATATTCACATGCATGATTCTGTAGTACCATCCATGTCACTGAATCGTTGGGTGACTCTGCACTGCAGTCCTGAAACAGTGCTCTGAAGATTGTTCCCATTATGACCCCATTTGAAGTTTGAAAATTCTTGCTATTCCTAACAAAGAACTAAGAAAGTGAGGCAGATGTGTTGTTAAAGTGGGGGCCAGTGTGGTAGAACAGGAGTGCAGTTGTAATAACTTAGTTGAATGCTTCATGGTGGTTATTACAGCTTTAGATTTGTCTCTAAGATATCAGCTTGGGGTCTCAACCACCTGTTTGGTATGCCCTGTGCTACACTGTTGTCGGTGCTGAGGACAGTTTTCAAATAATCTCAGAAAGGTGTAAGCTTGACAGAAATTGAAAGCTTCTTGAACCACTTATATATCAGACTCCAGCAATCCATTTGAAGACTGCTGTCTAGATCATTCATTGTTTGGAGTAATGAGTGCAATACAGATGGTACATGGTCTACCGAATTTGTGCCTGTCAAAAGTAAGGTCCTTCAAATGGTGCTGGACTCTGGTTTGCTTATATACATAGTCTTCAGCCTATTTAAGGCATGTGTTTACAGGCATGTATGACAATTGCATTAGGTGACCTTTGGGCATCAATAGAAGGTTAGAGTTGTGACACCCAACCTCTACCAACCGAATTTTACGTTGCCAACTATCCATTTAAGAGGGAAATGTGCTGGAATTTCTTCTCAAGAGTGTCATGAATTCCTACTCCAAAAAGCTGTAGAGGTTGAATCTTTGAATATATTAAAGTTAATACACAGATTCTGAACTGTAGGTGAGCCAAGAAATATGGGGAATACCTAAAGACATGGATTTAAGATGAAGTTCTGATCAGCCATGCTCTTTTTGAATGGTAGAGAAGGTTCTAAGTGCCATATGACTGTCTCTTGATCCTCTCTCTTAATTTCTTATGTTTCTCATCTGGGAAATATGCAACGAGCAGTTGAAAATTGGTCCTAGCATCTGTAACCTCACCTGCTTGTACACTTCAATGTAATAGGTCCTATAGTGTTATTTAAAGTCAAACAGAGGAACTTTCATTGTCTCTTGGCTGACATTTATTTATCAATGAACAAGACCAAAATGGAACAACTCAGCGCTGCTGGGATACTGCTGAGTACAATTGGCTGATGTGCTTTCCTACTGAGCAACAGGGAGCACATTTCAAAAGTAATTCATTGATTGCGAAGCTCTTGTAATAGGAGTTCATTATTTTTTTCCTCTCTGTGGAAACAGACAAGCTATATGAAAGCAGAAAATCAAGAATCAAGGGGTTGGGTCATTTATAGATACACTACACCATCAATAACACTTTAGGGAAACCTACACAGCAAACAGAAATGCCGAGTTATTTTTCTCTGCTGCTAGCTGGTGTCCATGGAGAAATTAAGGTTGCAGTTTGTCCTGGCAAAAAATGTGCTGCACCTGCTTGATGCCACTGGCACTCCTGGTTGTGAGATTTTGACAGCTATCTTCTATTGTTATTTAGAAAGAAAACAGTGGAGTAAAAATTCACAGTTGTCTTCACCTCAACAGTCACTGACAGTATTTTTCCCATACTGGGATTAGTTTGAAGGTCTGATTGTAGAAGACTGCATATTGCTGTCACTGTTTCGTGATCCATAGCCTCACAAGATAAATCATTTCTAACAAGCTAAGGGAACTGATCCTTGGTCTCTGCACACAGATAATTGGGTGAGGGCAGGTGTAGATCATGAACAAAGATCATGTTGCTTTACAGCCTCTGCAGCTTCCTCTAGAACCAGCAAATAAAATGGCATACCAAGAAATACTGATATTTAGAGGTGCTGTAATGTCACATTAAATTGCAGTTGACATCCATTCACAGATGAAAAGGCGTGAACCTGATTAACAAAGCAAAATACAAATACAACATGCTTAAAAAGCAGTGCAAAAACTGAAATCAATGAACAAATGTAAGCAAAAAGCTAATTTGATAATTTAACAAGCACAATAACTTATGAAAGAATGGTCCAATGTCATAAGACATAAGAAAATCAGCATATTGAGACCTTGGCATTGTGTTTTATTTTTCAAAATATTTTTACTAAGTAAAGTACTATTTGTGTCTCCCATGTCCTTTGTTTTGTTGCATGATAACTTAATGAATTCAGCATCCAATTGGTCCAAATTATGTGCACTTATTGGCTCTCCTATATTTGACAGGGAGCAAGAAACATCATTAGGTCAGAGGTTAGATGAAATACTGAGAGTTCCTCTTATCCTTGAAAGTACAGCACATCTCAAAAATAAGTTATAACCCCATGTTAGAAATATTTTCATGGAATTGAAAGGTTAATGCAACCTGCAATTATCACCGTAAATTAAGTGAGATATATGGGATAGTCACTTTTTTTGCAAGTTGTTTTCACTTCCTTGGACAAGTTTTGACTTTTCAGTAAAATAATATCTATTTGAATTGGAGAGAAAACTATAAAAACATTAGATAGCAAAAAGAACACTATGATTATGGCTTGCTGCTCTATAACATACATTATTCTTCTTCCAATATTAAGGGAAAAGATGCTATTTGCACAGTATTACCTTTCATCAGGTTTACAGCAGTCAATCCTAAAATATTCATTTACACCAAACTGAGGTTACACATATGGAATTGCTCGTGTTACTAATGTGAACAAAGTCAGAAGTGACACGACACCAGGTTATAGTCCAATCGGTTTATTTGAAATCACAAGCCTTCGGACTTCATCAGGTGAAGGGGCTAGGCCCTGAAAGCTTGTGATTTCAAATAAACCTGTTGGACAATAACCTGGTATCATGTGACTTCTGACTTTGTCCACCCCAGTCCAACATCGGCACCTCCACATCATTACTGATGTGAGAGCAGAGGTAACTGAAGAAAAGATATGAATAATAATTGCAATGAAACTTTCAGATATTGAAGAGGTTGGTGATTTATTTATAACAGGAAAATTCTCAAATTTCACAACTGGAGTATAAACTAGAAATGATTCTTACATTTTATTTGACTACGGCTGAATTGCAATTGGGTTTTTGGAGTATTTCTCACTGCAAAGCCTTACGATATTCTGACCCTATTTTACCAATATCACCTCATTAATTGACAATCATTCCCCACTGGTGTCTCTCGTGTCTAATTTCTGCCCCTTCTTACCAAACTCTCACTCCATTAATTTCTCAGTGTGACAATGCACAGTACATCATGTTGGTGAATAACCACTGTCTTGGCTTTTCCAGAACAGATTGCCACACAGTGGATAACTACAAAGACATTGACATCCCATGCACTCGCTGTGACTTTAAAAGCCTGCGGTGCACCTGGATATGCCCAGTCAGTTTAGTACTGCCCTTTATGATTGCTGACATTTGCGCTGGACATGGTAGGCAGGGGGACTTTGGTGTCCTTCTTTGCAGGCAGGAACTTGG